ATTTCTCAAGGTGTGCGTATTACCATATAGCTTCCTGCCGAGTGAGAAAGCGAGACATGCGTGCCATGAAGTCCTGTTGGTCCGCTGATCTCTCTGACAGCTTGTAAATGAACCTTATCTCATAGCCAAAGTGATCAACAAAGTTATCGACAAACTTGCCAAGAGTTGGTACCTAGATGTTTGTCACAAGGCTGGCAGAAATGGTGCAGGTATTCCCAGAGATCTGCCTGTTGATAAGCTAATAATTTTGGAATACTACAGTGGAGCATGAGTAAACAACGCATTGTGCTAGTAGATAGCGTACCATAGAGCTCGCGCAGGGCAGAAGTAGATGCCTCTGAGTCACGCAATTTATTCTGAGACAACAGAGGATCAGTCTCAGTGTCGCTGATGCTGTCGACGCTGTCGAGGGCACAAGTGCTGTTCGGTGAGAAAGGGTCATATCTCCCAGGCTCAGAAGCTGACATTGCCAAGCAAATAAGATATTAATCTTTGCTGGTATGCGGAATAGAACAACGAATACCCACCTTTTGTGGTCTTGCCTTTGCGAGAGATATGCTCTGTGTTGGACTGTCTGAGATCTCGTCGTCAGTGAGAATCTCAACGGGGTCTTGCTACGAAGCAGCTGCACGTTGTGCAAATGAAGATCCACAAACACGGCGTTCTTAACCTGCTGACGGCCTGCTAGAGATCTTTGCCTTACTCTTATTTTAGTGCCTGCAAAGAGACTCCAAAGCCTGTCCCTCGCCACAATCCCCGCGTGTGCCTTCTTCCGTTTGATCAATGCTCGCAGAGTCTTTGATGGCTTGCAGGAACTTGTTGAACTTAAACTTTGAGTCCACCAAAGATTGCAAGTGAGCGAAATCCTTGCCTTGCACTATCATATATTTGATGGTGGAGAGCAGGGTTGTCTGCTTCTTTGGCAGCTTGGGGTTCTCTTGGCTGTCATATTGTATGCGTGCGTCAGCCCTGGTTAGAGTTGAGTGAAAAAGGTTATATCTGAACGAATACACAGTACATACCATGCTGAATAGATGGCTTCTTACCTGTCACTAGGAGCCAAACAAGGATAGTAGTACAAAAATATTGCTGTTAGGGCAGTTACGGCTACTTGATTGCTCTCAGACGTGAGCTCGTTGATTGCCTTAAGCAGTTGACCTTGAGAAAAATCATTGTTGCAGATCAATTGGAAGAATGGCACAAGGACTTTAATGGTGCATGTCTGCTAGCTTGAGATACAGACAATTGTCGTGGGGAAAGGACTAGAGTTAGAACTGGTGGGGTGCAAGGGCCACCTGTGAGACAAGTAATCAGCAGAAATTGATCTGCGTACACTCAAACACTCACTTGTGCCATTTGAATACACTCAATATGATCTCACTACCCAAGACCACCAACCTAATATCTTCTGCCATCATGGATCATTTGCCACTCTGGTGAAGATCTTTCGGCATCGTTTGGGCCAGCAGTGTTGCAGGACAAGTGGACGGTGAGTGCACCTGTGAGCGTGCAGGCTAAGTGAATACGATTTAGCAAACTGGTGCCTGCTGTTCGTTTGCTACTTTGACCAACATTACGCCCTCTCACTTTTCCCCTTATTCTCCTCTCATCATAAGCTGCAATATCCTTTGTATCCTACTGTTGAAGCTATATGCGGTCTTTTTCAGCAACCAGCAAGAGCGGAAAAGGTGTGAAGAAGATGACATTCCTCAAGCCATAGAAAGACAGGTTCAACAAGATCACTACGATAAGCGGGGTGATATCAAAGACTTTAGGACCCAGAGCACTTGTTAAAGAGAAGAAATAAATGGAGCAGTGAATGCAGACCATCCTTGCAGGTGAGTTTTCAGTGTCCCTCTCGTGATATGGCCTCGCTGAGAGGCATGTTTCGCCATGTTAGGATATAGCCAGGAAACCATTAATCTCATTCAACAAGGCACAAAAAAGATTGTCAAATGGACGTTGACCTTGCTACACAAGAAGGCTTGGAACAGCTTGGTATTGATCAAGACGGTGTCGACAATGGAATGCCCACTGCTCCAGAGTTCAACATGCCATTCATGATGTGCTATGGTCTCAGTAAGTTATTTGCTCAGGGGACTTTGCTCTAACTGACAATGCATGCAGATGGAAATCCCACTGGTTCAAACAAACATGACGATGGCAACAATGACAGCTCCGCAAAGAAGCTTCGTAGAGCCCTCTTCTTGACTCTTTCACCGACCGGCTCCTTCATTGGAAGTACCCCACCTTCAGAGCACTCACCAAGTATGGTAGAGCCAGCCACACCTTGCACTGCCAAATTATCATCCTTCGAGCCGGACTTAGCATCAGTACCACCAGGTGATGCACGTCAGCATATTGACAGCTGCAAAACCCAGCTGCGAGCAACCGCAATCTATGTATCATGTCAAAGTCTACAACCTCTTCAACCTGCAAAAGGATATCACTGTCTTTCACTCTGCTGACAGCTTCTCACCTGCTCTCGATCTCCTTAGGCACGGATATCTCATGACGACATCTAGACGGCCTGAAGTGGCCATCTCCATCAAGACCTTGGACCTTTTATACCAGCTCTGTTAGCAAAAACCTTCATTTAGTATAAAAGCATTTGCAAAGGTCATATGTGATTATTACATGGTACGTCCTGGCATTTCAACTTGTTTATACCTGACTGACATCGCGCACAGATCCCGTACCGCAACATTCTCCACAAGGTGTTCGTGGATACCTTTGAAGTGTACCTCCGCATTACTTGCATGGTAAAACAATGGCTACAAGCTGTTCTTGGATGAAACAGCCCAGACTGGCAGCTGTTAAATTCCTGCCATGCTTGCTGCTACAAGGTACAAGTATTGTGCCTTTACACCCATGCAAACCTCACCATCAACCTAGCTAAAAAATGAACCCTCTCTGTCCTTCAGCCAACTGTAGTCTTTCAATGGTAACAATAGCCTCAAACAAATGGCAACAGTTGCAATACAGGTGACAGGTGACGGGTGACATGCGAGTCCTCAGCAATAGCTCCTACTAGCTGCCTACATCATATGTCAACTATTTCACAAACGAGGTTGCAGGTTGTATATCGCAGAAATCAAGTGTTAGTTGGCATCAATTTCACCTTACCTCTAAGAATGGCAAGAATGAAGATGAGGGTGACAGTCGGGAGGATGTTGACGAGACTGAAGAAGATCCCACAAATGGCGTCGCGCTGACGCTACGAAACAAAGCTCTCAAGAGACATAAAGCCAATGACAGCAGCAGACACACTGCCACTGTTCCAACCACTCTCGCAAGCAATGCCACCACACTCATTAGCAATCCTCACGCTACTGCACTTCCCAGTGACACGAGCAACTCCACAGCACTTGCCGGCAACACAGATGCTACTGACAGAGTACAAGCCACGCTCCTGCATTGGCTTCTTGAGCAGTGTGTCAATAACTGAAAAGCAGCTGCCGCGGAGTCAAAGAAGAAGATGTGGAAAATGTACAATGAGTCAGGGGTATTTGCCTCTGCATGCCATCATGGCTTTATTTTATAGCTGTGTGACATGGTGCGCAGTGGTGAATTGTTAGTATCTCGCTTTTTTCAGCACATATCTTATTGACCACACTTGTACAGAGCTAAATATCCACTGGCCATTGTCACGAAGGTCCTCGAAGTGATGCTCAATAACTGGCTCACCAATTATGACTTTGGCTGTTCCATGGAAACAACTGTCAAGAACAGCACCCTCAGTCCAGAGTACACCCGAAAGCATGTGCACATGTGTGTGAATGTGTTCCACAGCTATTCACACTCTCACGTCTGTCAACTGCACTTTCACCCGAACATCATAGAGGGCGCCGGTGTCAAAGACTTTGAAACCATGGAGTGAATCTTTTAGCACATCGAACAATCTTGCCCCTGTTATTTGATACGCCTCTGCTTACCACTGTCGGCTTCTAACAGAGGCATGGTTCAAGCAATGGAACATCAACAAGTGCTAAAATACCGGTGATTTCATTCTCGACAACTATACGCAAGCGCTGAAGATTATTGACATTGAAGGCCAGGCTCTTAGGCACAGCATAGACCAGCAAAGAATTGCTGTAGGCAATATCACTTGATGGCATGACAAAGAGCTCACATACTTCACTATGCTGGGTAATAAGCCAGAGTATGATGTCTACACAATGTTGTACGTCGAGCTGCTCTAGAAGCTTCATAACCTAGAACTGAGGCTCCAACGGGCACAAAATACCTTTCTCACCTATATGCTCTCAACAGACAAGCAGACCTACAGCTGTGATATTACACTAACATGCAAGCTGGAAACAAAGCAACAGATTGTGGCAGAGCAATACGACCACACCAGCACGGAGATCATTGACTTCAAAATCAAGATAGATATTTAGGAACACTGGGATCTGAGAATGTTCACTTACCAAGAAGCTCTCAAGTACATTCACAAGCGTATGTACTAATGTGCCCTTGACAAGCTTCATCAGCTAGTTATGCTGTGGCTCTTTAAGCTTTAGAAGCTCAATGTCTCGCATACCAGTAGATGCTCTATACCCATACATTTAACTAACGCTTAGTGTTGCAAGTTATAAGATGTGCACACATATTGCAGAGTTGCTTCAGGTTTGCTCCAAGATGATCAAAAAAGCTATCACCAAGTACAATGCTATAGCCACAATGATGAACCCACCGCGGCCAACGCTTGACTGGTTAGAAGTCACCCACTATGCCTTTTTGGAGGAGTTTTCACTCCTTCAAAATACCAAGAACAACCTCCGTCAAAAATTATAGGTACAGCCTATTGCTCATGAAATGATCAAAATGTACTGGCATGTTGCTCGTGCGAACAAGGAACTGAGATGCCTTAACGTCGAGGTTTGTTGCCTGCACACTGCCATTGTCGATGATGACAGGCTGTTCAGAGCAGCTTTGATGAGCCTGGACCATTTGCATCTCTTGTATGGTGCCATGCGTGAGTTTGCTACGTATCACCATGCCATTAACAATCACTTTCTGCAGTGCATTTTCTAAGTTTACAACTTACCTGGGTACACCAGCATCTAAGGGCCTGGTGAAGCCGAAGTCAGCATGGTTATCCAAGCATGCCTTTCCTTTGCCCTTCCTGCAACTGCTCACCAAATCCTGCCCTTGCTACATCTGGAAAAACTGAGTTTGTTAATTTAACAGTAATTAGCAGTAATAGGTGCTCTTTCAATATTTGTAAGATATGATTTTATTCTTGCTTTGTTAGATGAGAGGCAATTAGTTAAATGAGTTTAGCCAACACACTTTATATGTTAGATACAGTAACTGCATCTTATATCAGCTAATTTGTTTTCTCTTCATTAGTGCAAAACTTTTAGTTTGTTAAATATGTTAATTAGTTTACTGTTTGTCATAAAATGTTAAAACTATTATTTCATTCTGTGAATACTAATTTGAAGTTCTGATTATTCCATTTTTGTTAGCTATACACTATATCTGCTAAACAGTTCACTATTTATTCAAGTTACATTATATTTGTTAATTTGTTCTCTGAGTGTTAATCATAAGTTCTTTGTATACTATTCATGTTAAAGATACATTATATTTGCTAATCTGCTTTTTCAATACTAATCACAAGTTCTTTATATGTTATTTTTATAAAAGATACATTCAATCTGTTAAACAGTTCACTATTTTTTAATGTTACATTATAAATGCTAATCTGATCTTAAAATCCTATTTATACACTTTTTGTATACTCTTCTTATTAGATATATACTTATTCTGCCAAGCAATTCACTATTTGTTAATATCATACTATAAATGTTAATCTGTTCTCAATATGTTAGCTGTAAGTTCGTTGAATGCTATTCACATTAGCTACACATTATATATGCTTAATAGATCATTGCTTGTTATTAATATAATCTAATATTAATCTGCTTTTTGAATATTAATTATGAGTCCTTTGCATATTATATATATTAGCTACATATTACTTACACATATTAGTTTACTGTTTGTTATTAGTATACTATTAGTACTAATTTGCTCTGCAAATATAATTTTAAATTTTTCATGTTAAATGTACAAAATATTCTCTATTAAAAGAGACATCTGATATAATATTATCTATCTTCAGCTATTATCAGTGGTTTTTAGAGATAAGTGTATATGCATGTTTTCATTATTTAACAGATATAAATATTCCCATAGCTTAGCTATTTCAATAATGTGTTATATCTTTAATATATTATAGCAGTGTCACATAGTATAAAATTTTGCTAAAGCACAATTGTATTTGATCTTGTGAACTATAGTATTTTATAGTTCTTATAATATCTACCTATTGTCCACGCATTTTTGCTATATCTTTTGCACACTCAGTATCTATATCAAAATAATACCTGAGAAAAATGCTACTAGTATTTTAGTGTAAGAGTTATATATATACTACTTAGTTTGCCAAAGTAATTTAAAATAAAGTAGCAAAACTTTGATCTTTCTTTATAGTGTTATGCATTATTTAAATGGTCATTATATATGTGGTAGTATGTATAAAATTATTTACAGTTTTACCTGATTTTTTTACTTTTTTGTTTTTACTTTAACTACTGTTAATAAGTTTGGTTTTGACTTGTGCTGATTTTTATTATGTGCTAATCTATTTATTTATTTTAGCTTCAAATCTAATTATTGTATTTGTAGTTCAAAAAAATGTAATGAATAGTAACATTAGCTAAATCTTATAAGTATTGAAAGTAAGCCATAAAAGTAAATTTAATCCGTGACATTTTATTAAACTATATTTAATAATGAAGCTGTTTTTAAAATGTCCTAAAGTGTTATTTAAGCGCCAATTAAGCGTTCAAAAATACCTAGCATCTTTAAATATACAAATAGATCATTTAAAAGGATTTTTTAAGTTTATATCTCATATACATTATATAAACACAAGTAGTACTATAAAATGCTAGTTTTAGAGCAAAAGATAATATATACAGCTTTTAACATCACTAACATATTTTATATACATACACTAGCATCTATGATTTTATTGCAAGAACAGCAAATTGTTTCTTTTTGCTAAATACTCGCTAATAAGCTATATATAACTGTATTTGTGTTATAGAATGTCATATTTATTCTGCACTTTATTTATTTCTATATGCATACTAACAACATGTTATTTTAACCAGCACATTCAATAGCTAAAGCAATGGTTGATAATCTATTGCAAAAAGCTACTATATATATTAAAGGTTGTTATATTAGCAAATGACAGTTGTATCAAATATTGTACATCTAGCATTATATACAAAGACAACAGTTATATTTAGATATAGAAGTGTGAATATGTGTTAAACTTCTAGATTGCACTTAGAAATTATTTGTAAGTTGTTAGCTGAGTGTATATAGAAATCTTGAAGTGTATAGTTTATGTGAACTTTATGGCTCAGTGGTTAAAATGTGCATGTTCAATAAATAGCT